CATTTTAATTATTTTTTTTCAATACAACACAGTAAGTTTTTCTTTATTATTGAGTTGATGTATATGCCTTTGACAAAGCTAACATCTGCCTTACCCTATTGCCTTTTCAAAATCAAAGGTGATGATACCTGTGACAGTAATACAGTACGAAATGTGTACATCAGCATGTGCCTCCTACAAATAAAGACTTGTTGTTTTTTTGATACACTATGGTTAAATTCGTAATAATAGCTCCGTAGTCCTGTGGTTTTAGCAGCATTTTTTTTTTGGGCCGAATTTTTTTTTTTTTTCGCCCTCTCGCATTAGTTTTGGGGTCTTCAGAGGATGTCATCCATAAAATTAAATCAGTGTGGCCTAAACTATAAGTCCCTGTTTTGGACTTTGCCTGAAATGGGACTGAATTATGTGATCTGAACTGATTTTGATACTACCGGTATGTCACTAGCATACATGTTTCATGAGACAGGACTGGTGGGATTAGTAGAGTAAACACTCTGCTTTCAAGGTTACGATCTATGAAGCTGATGGAAGCTACTGATATCACCAACAGTGTAATGAGAGATAAGAATACAATGCCACCGAAGCCAGACAACCAATCAAACTCACACAGAGTCCGGCAAGTGGGTGAAATAATTCACACTTTAAAAGACAAAGTTAACTTTTATTAACACACAAAAAGATATCTTTTTAAACATTTTCTCACAAAATTTAATCAAGACCTACAGCTAAGTTATGGGCAATTATGTCCATGTGGCTCAAAATAAATACATTAAAATGTTGCACTGTCTGTAAAACATGGCGGGAACAACTAGGGCTATCAAATGATTATTGACCTACAGTATTATTATTACAAATGTATTATACCTCATTATACACCCTTATCTAGTTCTAGTATGTTGATGACAAGCTTAAATGAAATGAATACTTATGAATGTTGAATTGCGAAACAACAAATGGAAAAATCATAATTTCTTGCCAAGTTTGACCCAATATTGGTCAGAAAAGGGACACAAATATAGGTCGTCATTTTGAATTAAATCATAAAACCAAATGATATGCATTGGTAATCTACAATGAAATCAGTCTAGGAATTTCTGAAAAACCGTCAATGAAATGTTCAAATTTATGAACTTTGGGGCAAAAACATTCTTGTTTGACACAAATATTTCTGGTACACTCCTAATAAATACGAAAAAAACAATATATTAGGAAGGCATGATTTGCATATTCAGAGTAAATATCATGAAAAAAATGACCAATCGGTGCTTGTTTTAGAACAGGGAGACTGTCTGCTTTAACAAGTAGATTGATTGGTTGTGTGTGTGTGTGTGTGTTTGTTTGTAACACGTCACCACACGCTCGTAAGAGGAACAGTTTGCATTTAATAGAAAAAACGACAATGGTAAAGGACAAGTCTTAATCAAATACAGAAGCACAAAACACAATACATGTATAATAAAATAACACAATATAAAGTGACCAAAATTAATGATCTCTGTTTTTGGACTTAAACTAAACTACAATCTACCAACACAGTGTATAAATATCATAGTAATATAATAATGTACTACAGAAATTGACTGTAAATTAAGTAATTTATGATATAGATGTAGCCAATCAATGGACTGAGGGTATTCTAAATTCCAGATACGTGTATTTACTAAATCAATAAAGTGATAAAATCATACAGCAGACTACTATAAAATCATTAAATGTTCAAATTTGTGACTCAAAGAACCTGTTGAATTTT